CAGGGGAGGTTGAGAGAACAAAATTGCTTTACAAAGAGAATGAGGCCTCTAGGAGAACTTATGGCTGCACTATTATGTCTGATGGATGGACAGGTAAGACGCAAAGAAGTTTGATAAACTTTTTGATAAATTCTCCTGAAGGTACTTTCTTCATGAAATCAGTTGATGCCTCCAATGAAATCCACAATGCAACTTATTTGTATAAATTGATTGATAAGGTTGTTGAGGAAATAGGAGAAGAACATGTGGTGCAAGTGGTTACTGATAACCACTCTACTTATATTGCTGCAAAAGACCTTCTGAAGATAAAGAGAAAGAATTTATTTTGGACACCTTGCACTGCTCATTGTTTGGACCTCATGTTGGAGGATAATGGAGGGTTGAAGTCTATCAAGAATTGCATTGCCAAGCCAAGGCATGAGACGTCCTTTATCTACAGACATCCTCTTCTCCTTGCTTATATGAGGGACAAAACACAAGGGAGGGATCTTGTTAGATGTGTTGTTACAAGGTTTGCCACATCATTTCTTACTTTGCAAAGTTTGTTCACTTTCAAAGAGCCATTGTGTTCTTTATTTGTTAGTGATGTGTGGAATATAAGTAAATGGGCAAACAAACCAGAGGGTTTAAGAGTCTCAAGCACTATTCTTTCAGTTGCATTTTGGAAAAATGTAAGGATTGCCCTCTTAGCTTCCCAACCAATTGTGGAGGTCTTACAGTTGGATGATGGTGATGAAAAACCTGCAATGGGGTACTTCCACTTTGCAATGGAACGGGCAAGGGAAAAGATCAAAACAAATTTTGGTGAGAAAGAAAGAGAATATAAGCCCATTCTGGAAATTTTTGACAAGTGTTGGAATAATATGATGCAACATCCTTTGCATCTTGTCGGTTTCTTCCTCAATCCAGCCCTCTTTTATAAAGCAAAAGCTGGAGATGAAGCATCAATTGGGAAGTTTGAAATGGGCTTTATAGATTGTATTGAGAGGATGGTGAGTGACATTGAAATTAGATAAGATCTCCCATCAAATGGAAGAATATAAGCATGCCCACGGTGCATTTTCTAAGAAAATGGCAATTAGACAACGAGAAACAAAACAACCAAATAAGATTTAACTCATTACCTCTATAATCTTATTTTTGTTAATTTTTTGTATTGCTATCTTTGAATTTGTATTCTCTAATTTAAATTTTTCTTTATTTGTAAATTGTTCTTTGTAGTTGATCGGTGGCATACTTATGGACATTGCACACTAGACCTTAGGCATATTGCATACGCATATTAGGTCTTACGTGCACGTCTTCTGCCTGTGAGCGTAACTGAAGCACCTTTGAGCATGTAAGTAATTTTAATATTATTTTTAATTGATTTATGAAATTCGATTATAAAAGTTAAAATGTTTTTTTTTTATAATCTTCTTATTTTTGTTTATTGTGAATTATGAATGTAGATTCATACCAAGAAGAGGAACAAACTTGATCATAAGAGGCTTAATGATCTTGTCTTTGTTCAATAAAATCAACGTCTTTGTGAGAGGTTCTTGACAAGATGTGCAAATCGACAATTTGATCCCATTTGCTTCAATGATGTTGATGAGAGTAGTGAATGGTTGACTGGAAGAGACCCATCAAATGAGCTCGTTCATGAAGGTGGTGATCTCACATGGAATGAAGTTGATGAAGCAATAGGAGCAGCTGAAGTTGTTGAGAATGCAAATAGGCCGAGGAGAAGTGCATATACGGTGTATACACGTGCAAATAGAAGTGGAGGTAGATGTGGTCGTGGAAGAGGTGATGGTAGGGGACAAGACAAAGGAAAGAGTGGTGTGCAAGAAGAAGAAGAAGAAGATGAAGATGAAGTCGGAGAGCTTGATGGGGAAGATGAAGACGATGAGGATGCGGATGATGCTGATTGTGCTGTTGATGATGTTGGTGGATTTATTGGAGGGATTGCGGGCTCTTATTACCTAGCTACTAGAATTAGCTAGATACTTTTCTTTATTAATCATCTATAAACTTCATGCTTTGTTAATTTATCCTTAATCCTTTTGTGGAGATTTTGGAGAATTGGATAAGTGCCATATTTATTTTTTGTTATGGTTTTATTCATTGCTTGATTTGGTTCCTACTTCTTATCTACTTCCTTTAAATGCCTGGAATAGATAAATTTCAATCAAGGTATGTCTTATGTGTTTGATTTGATTCCTTTTATTATTTGTTCATTTATTATAAATTTACAATGCTTTTTGTTTAATTTATTAATGATTTGTATGTGTGTGTGTGTTAAAGGAAAAATGAGAAAAGAGAGCACTCAAGAAGGACAATGCTCAACATTCACTTCAAAGTCAAAGATATGTCTTTGACTCAGTGAGTTTAAATTTTTTTAGTATTTAACTATTTATTACTTTATTAGTTTAGTTTTTTAGTGTAGTTGCCTTGCCTAGTTGGTTTAGACTCCTTTTTATTGATAATATTTTATATTTTTAGCTTTTTATATGAAATTTGTACTCATTTGAATGATTTATAGTGTTAATAGTTAGTGTACATGATTGCTAATTAGCACAGAACCAATAAAATGACTTAAAAAAGCATATATAAAGTAAAAACTCAATCCAATCATACCTTGTTTGTGAAGCGAAGGGGATCTTTGGTGTCAGTCCTAATTGTTTATGTGGATGATATTGTTGTCACAGGGAATGACCTAGGTGAGATTGATTTTGTCTGAAAAAAAAATCTACATAAAGAAATTGAAATTAAAAATCTTGGAGAACTGAGGTACTTCTTAGGCATTGAAGTTACAAGATCAAAACATGGAATTTTTATCTCTTAGAGGAAGTATGTCTTGGATCTTCTTCAAGAAACAGGGAAGCTTGGAGCGAAGGCAATCAGTACACATATTGATCAGAACCACAGAATCAATGCATCAGAAGGTGAGCTAGTAAAGGACATTTGGAGATATCAGAGACTTGTGGGTCGGCTGCTATACTTGTGTATGACAAGACCAGACATTTCCTATACAGTAAGTGTGGTAAGTCAATACATGCATGCTCCACGAGTCCAGCATTGGAAGGCTGTTGACAGGATTCTTGCTTATCTAAAGGGACACCTGGGCAGAGGCATATTGTTTATTGATCATGGACAGTTGAAACTAAAGGCTTATACAGATGCAGATTGGGCAGGATGCCTTGATGACAGGAGATCCACTTCAGGAGTATGCACCCTTGTTAGGGGTAACCTTGTCTCGTGGAAGAGTAAGAAACAATCAGTGGTGACAAGATCAAGTGTTGAAGCTGAATACAAGGCCATGGCACATGGAGTTTCAGAACTTCTCTGGATTTGTTCCCTATTAGGAGAAATTGGTGCATAGGCAGAAGAACCTATGGTGTTGTACTGTGATAACCAAGCAGCAATTAACATTGCCCATAACCCAGTCCAGCATGACCGAACTAAGCACATTGAAGTGGATAGACATTTTACCAAAGAAAGAGTGACTTATGGGGAAGTTTGTCTTCCATACATTGCTTCTGATCTGCAGCTTGCTGATGTTCTAACAAAAGGTGGTGCATGGAACAAGCTGGAGCATGATCTACGCAAGTTGGGAATGTGTGACATTTACTCCCAACTTGAGGGGGAGTGTTGAGTTGGGCCGGTTTCTAGCTATTGGGCCCATTTGTTTTTTATTCTTATTTTAAGTAATTAAGTTAGAAAGTTGTTGGGCTTTAGGCCCATTAGTTTATGTTTTAAGATGTGATTGTTTAGCTACTTTAGTAGCCGCCCTACTAAGGGTATTCTTGTAATATCTCATTCTTTAAGTTAAGTATAAATTATAATGAGGGGTTGGCGGCCAGATCTAATTCAATTCTAGTTGGCTTCATACTCTTTTCTTCTCTACTGCTGAAACTCTTCATCTTCTTCTTGTTTCTCTTCACAAGGAATTCATCTAAATCTGCAATCAGTAATTTCTACTTATAGCTAGCCAAATTATCATGTGCATTTGTACTGATAAATTGTTGCAACATTAAGGCCCCATTTGTTTGCAGTACTGATGCAAATGCATCGGAATGCAAATGAAAGGACTGCAGATTATAGCTCACATTCGCTTCAGGTTTAACTTTGTTTGTTTGAGATGCAAACAGGGTGAGTGCAAATACATGGAAAAATGCAAGTGGACCCACTTTATATGGGAAAAAGCACAAAGGTATGGGAGTGCAAGTGGCTCACATACGGGAGAAAAACGACAGTGGGAGGAAGGTGGTGCAAACTTTGCAGTAGACTGTGGGATCCGAAATTTACAGGATGCAAATGAGACAAAAAGAAAGCCAAATATTTAACATTGGGAGGCAGGATCACTCTCCTCAAAAGCTCTCTCTTAAATCTGCCCTCTTATTTTCTCTCTCTCTTCCCAATTCCAACAAAAGTGGCCTAAAGGGTTGACAAGCGGTGTCTTGGACTGCATCTGTAAACGGTTTTCCAAACCAGTGAGTTTGGACCCATCGGAACTCTAGAAGTCTTCTTGAATTGTAGTGTAATCTAGGTTTCGGGCCTAGTTTCTATTAAAAGGGGCCTAAGTGTATCCTATTTTCATATCTTAATAAAATTACCTTATCTTTTACAAAAAAAAAAGAGACAAAAAGAAATAAGTGAAAATTTTGACAAGGCAGCAAGCAAATCATAACATCAAACAAACATATAGAAAACAAAACTGGGTGCAAAATTTGCACCTGCTATGAATTTGCACTGCAAACAAATGGCCCCACAAACTATGATATATATTAGCAATTGTATGCAATACAACACTTTTTTTCTGTTTTGCTATTGTTGTCTTTTTCTCTTCCACTAAGGTAGTAAGCCTGTAAGCAACTGTCACTCCAAAGTCACATAAACTTGTAAATTTCCCAATTTTTAACATATTCAACAAGAACCACAAGCAATTCTTGTAAGCAAGAATAACTCAAGTCATATTTAGATCAAACCTCTAAGAGAGAGAGAGAGAGTCTTACCCATCAGTATCAAGATTCCCACATAAAGATTCAAACCTTGGGTCACGTATCACCTAGACAAAATAATAATACCATATCAATTGCAGAAATTTCTAATTATTTGAAACCTGCAGAAGAATTACAAAAATTTATATCTTTATGGAAAATGAATATTGGTTACAGGTTATCATGTCATATTTCATACTCCCAATAGAACAGTGCGCATATGAAGGGATCTGTGCAGTAGAATCTTCACTCCATATATTTAGAGTAGCCAGATTAACCAACACCAGGATGATGAGATCAACCAATAACGGGAATTGCAAAAGGCTACACCAGATAATGAAGAAAGCCTAGGCCCAGTTTAGTCACTCTCTATGTGTTTCTCATGCAGTTGTCTACACATAATAATAACTACAGAATCCACAATTTTTTCATTTACTGAACACATTCTCCACAATTTAAGCCTTACAGCATCTACTTTTCATTTAGTTGTGCTTTTACCCAAAAAAATTGCAATTCTCTCTTAGAAAGTTGCAACTCTTTGGAACCCAGCCGCTATCAATATATGATAGTATCAGGGATTAGAGGTTGTAACATGGCAATATTATTGTTACCTTTACTATTATAAAGTAAACTACACAAACGTACTTTGATATCAATGAATTAAACTCTACATAAATTTGAGGACACATTTATTTTAACTTAGATATAGCCTCTTTTATATAATGGGAGCTGATTTGTTGGTCAGATCATCTAGTGAGCTTCCCTAAACAACCAAGGAATCTTACACATGGTGAACTAATTCGGAGCTCAAAAGGAGTATTTGAGGACACATTTATTTCACATAGATGCAAAATAAACTCACTTTTACAGGTAAGTCATCCATTAAAAAAAATAAAATTTCAAGCAGCTAATATTAACTGTGAAAACCACAAAACAAGGTGGAGTATGGGTCAAGCACAAGATCACTCCACATGGAAGAATATGTGGGTCATGTAGGGTATTCCCTACTTGACCCAACTAGTGAACCATTTTCCTTGTATAATCAAGTAAAAAGATAGAAATACCAAGAGAAGATTCACTTACCCTTTTAGGTGCTTGAATGACCTCTCTAAACCTACTAACAGGTTTCTTGCTACTGATCTCCATTGGCCTTCAACATGGAAATGATGATCAATGGAATATCCATGTGATAAGTTTACAAAAGCCAGAAAATAACTTTAATTACAAATATGTACCTGTTCTTGTTTGCACGCCCAACCTTCTTATCTGGATTGGGCTTTTGATATACAGAATGATAGCCACTACATCGAGCCTTCTGCAGCTCCTCAAATGAGATGTCAGCAAGTTCACGCTCTAGCTCTTCCTCCTACAAGAAAACAATCATAAGTAAGAAATGCAGGACCATCCATCCAATTACCAGGTCCTTGATTCCACCAAAAAAGGCCTACATGAAACTTAGAGAGGCCTACAAAGCAGTTCCCTTTGATCCAAAAAAGGTCCACACAAAATTCAGCTACATAAAAACCTCTTTCGTCATTCTGTAAGCCATATCCATTGTTAAATTATTGGTGCTTAAATCATTTCTTACTGCTTCTATCAATGTCCTTTTGGTTTGGCCTGCCCCTAGCCTTTCCAGCCCCTTCAACTTGCAAAAAATCACTTATGGGTGTTGTTGATGTTTTTCTATGCATGTGACCAACTGGCCATAACATCTGTTAATTCTAGACTGGACCTGTTCATGGGCCGGGTATCCTAACACGCTGGCCCAGCCTGGCTCATTCTTAGTCGGGCTTGAACATGAATTTAGGCCCACAGGCTCAGGCTTGAGCCCAAAACACCAAGCCCGATTTTTTTTGGGCCAGGCTCGGGCTTTCTCAAAAAAAGCCCAGCCCAACCGGATAATAGTGTTACATGGAGGCCACTACATATTAGTAGTGTTATCAAGTATCAACTAGAAATTCTAATTAATCGGCTAGTCAATTGAGAGTGAGACTAACTGAATCACTATCAAGTTGATAGTCAATAATCATGAGGTGGTCACCTAGGAATAACAAAGCATTAACTAGGTCAACTAGTTATTAATGACTGGGTCTACTTTTTTTTTCGTATAACTGTGTGTGTGTGTGTGCACGTGATGGATATGACTAGGTCTACAATATAGTATATGCTTTTATTTTTCATATGCACGGTTTCAAGGATTTGTGATGGAACACGGTTGGCTTATGGCCTATAATTATAAAGTAGAAATAATGCATAAAATTAAAGAAAGTGGAAGAGAGATTCTTTAAATTTTCCTTTAATCAGTGGTTGCACTCTTTTTTATTTTGATAGATAACTAGAAATTACATAAAATAATGAAAATAGGTTGTACTATTTCTTTGAAAAACAATTTGTAACTCTCAATCCAATCTTATATAAAATAACATTTTGATGTTTGCAAAACAAAGATGCTATAGTGAAATTTTAATATCATCCATTACATATCTGTGGTCTGCATTAACTTCTTTATGGGATAACATCATTTTTTTTGGTTGACTAGTCAGTGCCTGGGCATTACTAGTCACTGCATAGACTAGAGAGGTCAAAATGATTATCTGTATTGATAACATTGCTTATTAGAAACTACTAGGAATATCTAGTTTCTCAACTCATACTTCAAGTCAGTTTAGATTTTATAGCAAAGTGGACTGCCACAATTCTTTTCCAGTAGCACTCATCAAATTATTTAAAAAGTAAATGGAAATGGAAATGGTAATTCCCAGCATTCCAAGGTGTTTGAAATGGAGAGAGAATACGAGATAGCAAATACAGCTAGACGCTGACATCCAATGCACCGACATCCAGAAGACCAGGAAAGAAACACAGAGAAAATCAAATATTCCTTGTAGTTTACAGATTAGTCCCCGTCTCCGGTACACCCAAACAATTACACCTTATTGACACCACTACTAGTAAGAACATCTGCCCTTTTATTTGCAGATCTAGAGATCCATCTGAATGAGCAAATTCTGATTGGCCAGTAGAGTCTTGTTTTCTCTCAATTAAAAATCTAAACAGTTTGGCTGTTGTGGTAGTTGATTTATTTATTAAAAAATGATCATATCACCTTCCACCAGAATGCCTTTCCATCCCCTTGATGAAGCTATTATAAGGCTTTGTAACAAGAATGTCAGTTCATCCCACAAGGAATTGATGATGCCAATTGGAGGTCAGAGCAGTGCAACACTGTCCTGGTGGTAGGTTCTCTAATTGTATCACCTATCCCTGGCTTATCACAATTCAACAGGAATAGTTTCATAACCCCATTCTATGTAGGGATGAGAATATTTAGGAAAATAGGCATTTTGCTTAGTTTTGGAAGTCCATATAAAATAAGAAGTTAGGAAGCCCTGAAATAAGGGTCATCAAGGATACAATGTGGTATGTGGTTGATTATTGAATTTTGGGCATCATTTGAACTGAAATTTGCATGATGTTTTCAGACCGCTTTTGGATCATATACACCAACTGATGTAAAAATGCTTGCTTTTTATACTAATTGATGTAGGACTTCAGTGTACAACAGATGAGTCTAGGAAGTTTAGGATGATTTTAGGGGTAATATAGATCTAAAAACAAAGACTAGATTTATTAGAAAAGGTCTAGGGACTTAATAGCAAAAATTATGAATTTATCTTAGGACAATTAAAAACTCCAAAATAAGGAAAATTGATCTAGGATATGACTTTTTAATGAATTTTGTAGGTAGGACTAGAATGGAAATGACTATAGAATGCAACCAAGTTTGGTTAGGTTTGGAGTTTTCTTTTTTTATGCCCATCCCCCAACCCATAACCCTCCCAACCTAGGTGCAGGTGGGATTTGATCCCGAGTCTCCGCTATGGCCAGCAGGAAATTACCAACCCACTGGTTGGTACCTGGCAGATTTGGAGTAGGTTGCACAAAGCATAAAAATTACAGGGCTAAGAGAAGATTTGAAAGCTATGGAATCTAGGGTTCTTGGTGGAATTTTGGGATGATATGGAGGAATTGAAGGTTGTGAGAATTTGAGAGGTATCCAAATATTGGAGTAATCAGAGGGTGTTCAGCACAAAAAGACAAAATCAGTCAGAATGGATAATTTTTTGAGTTGTAAAGCTCACCTAGACAAATTCCGGACCTTTGAGAATGTAGAATGAATGCCTTTTGATGAAAAGCTTATGGCAATTAATGGCAGTAACGAGTTCTTAAAAGAATAAGGCGAAAATAGAAAGAGAAAGAAGAAAGGGGACCCAGCTTTACCAAACATGGTGCCTAGAGGCATATGCTGACATCTTGTAAAAGATTGTGTACAATGATTGCTTAGAAAAGTAGATAGACTGTGGTTCCACGTGCCCTCCCGGTTGATCTCCAGCCATCTTATAACCATCTTAGAGTCCCCTTCAATGATGACATTTTTGCAGTTCAGTGATTTTGCCTTCCTTAGACCTGTTACAGCAGCCATAATTTCTGCTCTTGCTGAGTCTCCTACCCCAATTGGACCGGAATATATAGCAACCATATTCCCTTCATTGTTTCTGATTACTCCTCCAACCCCTGAAACCACTGGACCCGGATTACCCAGATTGCAACTAGGGCTGGCAATTTTGACCCCAACCCACTTGAGTCAATATGGGTCAAGACATCAAGTGATCCAATAGGGATAGGGGAAAAAGGGTCAGGGTGGGTTGGGTCAAGGGTGGTCGTCAGGGTGAGGCTTCTTAGTGTTCGAAATGTTAGTGAGGTTCCTTAGGATTCAAAATTTCAGAGAACGTCAGGGTGAGGTGTATCGTTCAAGGCTTGAGGCAAGCTCCATTTGAATCTGTTCAAGGCTTGAGGCAAGCTCCATTTGAATCTGTTCAAGGCTTTAGGTAAGCTTCATTTCTGCAACACTACATGCAGTGTTTTAAAAGGCATGGGAGGCATAAACTTGGAGGTGTGCCTCCAAGCAAAGCGCTCCCAAAACACCTAGAGGCGTATGCTAGAGGCACTGACACCTCTGAGGCATACGCCTCAATGCTTTTTTCATGAAGCATGCTAGAGGCATATGCCTCATGCACACCTCATATAAAAAGATAGGAAAAAAAAAGAAAAAAAGGAAAGGAAAGGAAAAGAAAAGAAAAGAAAAGAAAAGAAAAGAAAAAAAAAAGAAAAGAAAGGGAAGGGAAAGAAAAAGAAAGAAGGAGAAGATAAAAGAAAAAAAAAGAGAGAGAAAAGGAAAGGGAAGGGAAGAAAAGATAAGGGAAAAGAAAGTGGTCTGCCCCCAACCCCTTTGGCTGGGGGGCTTCGCCCCCCTTTTTAATGCAGCCCAATTTGGTTTTTTTGTGTAAATAATCCTATTCAGTTCTAGGTTCGAAGTAGATAAGAAGAAGAAGTAGAAGAAGAAGAAGAAGGGTTCAACCAGTAGAGGAAATGTCACCCCTCTTGTTGATCCACTTTGTAATTATATTGAATAAACTGAGTTACAAGAAAGACAATATTGTCCCTTACATGTGATGAGACACATAACTTAAACTTGAATAAAGCAAACCTTTCACTTCTAATTAGATAAACCAAAAGACCAAGATCCCCTGTTATGTCGACTCTAACACTCCCCCTCAAGTTGGAGAGTATATGTCATATAGTCCCAGCTTGTCACATATAATCTACTCTGCCCTGAAACAGTCCCTTTGTAAAGACACTCCACTAATCATTTTTCTCTTACAAAGTGGCAATCAACTTCAATATGCTTTGTTCTTTCATGGAAGACTAAATTAAAAGGGATGTGTACAGCAGCTTGATTATCACAGTATAACCTCATGGGTTTGTCAACTGAGAACCCCATTTCCTATAACAAGTTCTTCAACCATACTAGTTCACATGTGGTATGAGCCATAGCCCTGTACTCAGCTTCTACACTGCTTCTTGCCATCATTATTTGTTTCTTGCTCTTCCAAGTTACCAGATTGCCACCAAGGAAGGTACAATACCCTGTAGTTGATCTCCTGTCTGAAACAGAACCAGCCCAATCCGCATCTATATACCCTTCTAACTCAAGAGTTCCTCCACTTCTGTATAACAAACCACGACCTAGAGCACCCTTCAAATACCTAACAATTCTTAGAACTACTTCCCAATGAGGAATCCGAGGATGTTGCATAAACTAACTCACCATACTTACAGCAAATGATATATCTGGCCGTGTAATAGTTAGATAATTCAATTTTTCCACCAACCTCTTGTACCTTCCAGGATCATCAAACTCTTCGCCTGCATCAATACTCAACTTAGCATTTGGTTCCATTGGTGTCTCGGCCGGTTTAGCACCTAACAGCCCTGTTTCTTCAAGTAGGTTAAGTACATATTTCC